GCTCTAGTGCACTCTGCTCAACTTTCCCAGCTGAAGCGAACACTCAAGGGCTTTTCACACTTGAAATGGTTAACCCTGGGTCAACAGGATCCTGGGTTATCTTGCTTCATGTTTCACACTGCTCATAATTTACCAGGGGTTAACAATTAATCCTGGTTATTCATACGCCGACGTTTCACACTATATTTCTAAACCCTGGGTTAATGTGCTTATTTGCATATTTGCTGGGTCAGTGGATTAAAAGTGCACGACTTGTTTACATAAAGGCTCTAGAAAATGTGAAACAATTGGGAAAATAAAAAAAATTAGTCATGAAAATGGGATGCGCAAATGCTGTAAACGGTTTGCAGTTATTTTTTTGTATCAACTTTAATATGCTACAAGTTCAAATGGTGTTATTTATGACTAAGACAGTCTTAAAATTGATATTCAACATTTTTATGTGTATGTTCAACATGAATATATACAGTAGATCAGTGTGAATTTTGGAAATGAATGCAATCTTAAAGAGACAAGGACATTTCTATATTAAATACACATTTGAACATTAATTGTAGATACTGATAAACAATCTGGTGAAAGCAGTTCGCTAAGTGAACACAAAATGGGTTTATGATAAACTATGTTGAGGACGACTTACAGAGATTTCTTTTAATTCATTTCCGGTAAACTCTTCTTTGTGCATTTCCAAGTGAAGAGCACAAACTGTAAGTAAAAATGCATGATAAATGTAGCACATACTAAGTACTAAACAAGGGAATTTAATATAGTGCATTTAGTTAAACAGTGAATTGGGCACATTAAAGGGATAGTTCACCCAAAAATGAAAATGTGATGTTTATCTGCTTACCCCCAGGGCATCCAAGATGTAGGTGACTTTGTTTCTTCAGTAGAACACAAACGGAGATTTTTAACTCAGACCGTTGCAGTCAGTCATATAATGGAAGTGAATAGGAAAAAACATACACAAACCAAACCAAATTAAACCCTGCGGCTCGTGATGATACACTGATGTGTAAAGACACGAAACGATCGGTCTGCAAGAAACCGAACAGTATTTATAGTTTTTTACCTCTGATTTACTGCAATGTCCTAACTGTCCTGAGCGCGACCTGAGCGCTTTCGCGTCTTCTTCTTCAGCCAGCGTGTGACGCATCATCTTCTTCTTGCTTTACGATGGATCGCAGACTTATAAGTGCATTACCGCCAACTATCTCTCAAATGGACCATTGACACTCCTAATTGAGATTGTAGATAGAGTGTCATTGGTCCATTTGAGAGATGGGTAGCAGTAATGCACTTATAAGTCTGCAAACGCGCTCAGGATGCACTCAGGACAGTTCAAACATTGCAGTAAATCAGAGGTAAAAAACGATATAAATACTGTTCAGTTTCTTTCACAGACTGATCGTTTCGTGTCTTTACACGTCAGTGTATCATCACGAGCCTCAGGGTTTAATTTGGTTTTGTTTGTGTATGTTTTTTTGACTCTCAAAGCCGTGATTCCCATCCACTTCCATTATAAGACTGACAGACTGCAACCGTTTAAATTAAAAATCTCTGTTTGTGTTCTACTGAAGAATCAAAGTCACCTACATCTTGGATGCCCTGGGGGTAAGCAGATAAACATCACATTTTCATTTTTGGGTGAACTATCCCTTTAAAGCTGGTTTTAGCATGACCTGCACTGCACCAAATCGGTCTATGTGCTATTTATTTATTTATTTCTTTTTACAGCTATGCACACAAAATCAAATCAAATAGATTGATAAAGCTAACTAACAACTGATCTGTGCTAATTTTACCTGAGGATATCAGCAGGGTGATCAGGACGATTCTCCGCAGCATCTTGTTTGGCCAAAGAGTCTGAACACAATGAGACTGAAAACTCTCCGCTTGTTTGCTGAAGGACTTTTAGTGCCACTCTTTTCAAAACACCTCGATTTTCAACCAGAAACCACAGACATTATGAAGTGAGACCAGTAGCACAAACATGTCAAGATGTTCTATCAATCTTGATACTACTTTTTTGTTTTTACTTATTTTTCATAGATTATAGTACTTTGATTACATATAATAGATCTAAATAATATACAATTCAGTGTCAGCACTACAGCAGGTATATGTGATGATACCATGTTGTCAGATAGTGATACTGTTGCACTGAAATGGAATGTGCTGCCATAATCCAAGGTAATTTCAAGAATATTATGGTACTACCTTGGAACGTGTGTAACTGTCGGCCTCCAGGAATTGAGTTTTGCATTCCTGCTTTAGTTATTTTGTATTTAGTTATTTATTTTAACCCTCGTCCTCTCTTGTTAGAGAGTAACAAAACCTCTCCTCGCAGATAGCATAAAAATTACATTTATTTTTCTGATCCAGAAAGCTTATATCAATCAATTTAGGTAAAATATTATCTTTATATTTATGCATTTTTTACTATTATTACTATTGGTCATTTTTATTTTATTTACCTCTAAATTCAGTATTTTATTATGAAAATAAGCATTGTTTCACAAAAAATGTGATCGGCCTAGAAAATTGCAACTTTTCATTTTCCGTCGGTTTTAGTACACAATGTAACTACAGAAGAATATCTTTATATTTATGCATTTTTTACTATTATTACTATTGGTCATTTTTATTTTATTTACCTTTAAATTCAGTATTTTATTATGAAAATAAGCATATTTGTTTACATTGTTTCACAAAAAATGTGATCGGCCTAGAAAATTGCAACTTTTCATTTTCCGTCGGTTTTAGTACACAATGTAACTACAGAAGAGTCAAGTTTTAAATAGGAAAAATATCGAAACAACCACAATACTCACACCTTTAGCTCTAGTGCAGAATTTCAACAACTTTTCCAGCTAAAGCAAACGCTCAAGGGCTTTTCACACTTGAAATAGCTAAAGGGATAGTTCACCCAAAATTAATCACCCTCAAGTTGTTCCAAACCTGTTCTTTCTTCTGTTGAACATAAAAGAAGATATACGGCTTATTTTTTTCGGATCACAAAAGAAGACAATATGAAAAAATGCTTGCACTTTTCCATTTAATGAATTGTAACCTTCGTCAATCTTTTTTTACAAAAATGATTCAAGTATCATAAAATTATCCCATGCAACTCGTTCTGTATTCCAAGTGTTCTAAACGCATACGGTACCCAGATAACACACACAGGTCTGCAAGATGTCTGTTAAAGATCTCTTCATCTAGAAAGCATCTGCTGTGTACAGACATCTGATAGACATCTTTAAGATGTCAGTTTTACATTCATTCTAAATCATAAGCATCTTAAAGACATCCTCTAAACGTCTAGACAAAATTCGTACTGTTTGTCCCTCTCTGGTGTCTTTGGACTTGTCTAGCAATCACCTTAGTTGGCCTTCAAAGTCTCCTTAACGCTCCAACTACAAAACAGTGATGAACTCGACTCAAGCAAGATATTTAAACTCAAAGGGAATTTGAAGGTACTTTTCCTGTAATAGGTTTACTGACAATTCAGACCTGTACTATTGCTTTCCAAGCTTTCAAATCTGATAACAAATGGAAGGAAATACTAGTACAAATAAGATGTGATTGTTTTTTTTAAATCAATTAATCAATTTTATTACTCCTAAAAGTGATAAGGAAAAGTGTTTGTATATGTTACAGCATCATATCATAAAGATTTCAAATTGCTTAGAGTGATGACAAATTTCTGACATTATTTTTTCATGCCTCATTTTTTATTATAGCCTATAGCTGCATGCAGTCACATGATAATATTGCAGTATCTCACAGGAAAAGCTGTTTTAGAAGCTCATTTGCACAAAAGTTGAATTGCTGGATGTGTCACCAGCCATCTAAACAAACTGATAATGATCGCTGTTATTGTGAACATGACTTGTTGCGTTCTGTAATGTTTGAAGTTCCTCTTGTTCTTCATGAGAGGCTGTCAGTCTTTGACAGTCTTGACGATCTTTCTGCAAATCGTCTTTATTGCTGATTATTTGCAAAATGTAAGAAATTATGAGTTTGAAATATGGTGCTGATGGACCAAGAAACAGACCAGTAAAATATGAATTCAAGCATACTTTATAAAAATATCTCCAAAACGAGTAAAAGAGCAAAATCAGGTCACAAAACATGATTTTTCCCCCACACATTTTACAGTTCAATGCAAAAAAGTGGTCTAAAGTTGTGTTCACAGCAAATATGCAAATTGCAAGTAAACTGATATACAAAACCACAATACTCACACCTTTAGCTCTAGTGCAGAATTTCAACAACTTTTCCAGCTAAAGCAAACGCTCAAGGGCTTTTCACACTTGAAATAGTTAAAGGGATAGTTCACCCAAAATGAATCACCCTCAAGTTGTTCCAAACCTGTTTGAGTTTCTTTCTTCTGTTGAACATAAAAGAAGATATACGGCTTATTTTTTTCGGATCACAAAAGAAGACAATATAAAAAAATGCTTGCACTTTTCCATTCAATGAATTGTAACCTTCGTCAATCTTTTTTACAAAAATGATTCAAGTATCATAAAATTATCCCATGCAACTCGTTCTGTATTCCAAGTGTTCTAAACGCATACGGTACCCAGATAACACACACAGGTCTGCAAGATGTCTGCAAGATGCATCTGCTGTGTACAGACATCTGATAGACATCTTTAAGATGTCAGTTTTACATTCATTCTAAATCATAAGCATCTTAAAGACATCCTCTAAACGTCTATTTGGCATCTGATAGAAAACATCCTATAGACGTATTGCAGATGAACATTCTAACACCGCATCGTTTCAAAAAGTGGTTCTAACTCAGTTTCTAAATTACAAGTGTGAAACGTTCCTTTACCCGGGGTTAAAAATTGAGTTTAGAATGACAGTAACTCAGGGTTAAGTACAGCGTGAAAAGCCCTTCAGAAACAAACAAACAAACAAAAAAGCCTTGCACATTTCTTAACTTTATCAAAGATTCCTTAACTTTTATAAGGTCATTAACTCCATGCCTATTTCTTGCAAACACCAATGTTAACACAGATGGTTCTGGCGTCATCAGTAGTTGAAAGTTCTTCGATCAGAGTGCCCATGTACTTGTTCACAAACTTCCTACACAGTGATTTCAGGAAGCCAATCTGATCACAGATCATGCCCAGCTTCTTTTTAATGTCATCCTGTAGGAAAGTGACCAGCAGATTTAACATTAAGCCATTAGTCTAACATGAATTTGTTTAGTAAAGCATATGAAACAATAGGCTACTGTTACCAACCGCAGTTGTCCCATTGGAGATTCGTTTTTTCAGCTTCCCCATGGCCCACTTGCAAGCCCAGCACAATCCAGGGAGTTGTTCTGTTTGTATCTCACCCTATTAAGAGAACAGATATAGAGTCAATAGTTTAGATACAGTATGCCAATTCGAATCTAGCAGTTCAAAACGGACATGAAGACTAGCTCAATTGCATCTTGCAAACACTCTTTTTCAGTATATGACAAAGATCTGACCCCTTATCGTGATCGATGCAACAGTCAGACTGATTAATCAGCTGACAGTTATTTAATTGTGTTGTTTTTTTGGTCAATGTATAATTGTAAATTCTTCCACCATCATATAAACAGATCGTAGTTTTCCCATTTTCAAATAGCAGTTTGTGGATTTTTTACGCAGTCATGGAAAACTTGGAAAAAAAGATTTCTTGAACAATAATGGAAATGAATGCAATCTTAAAAAGACATGGAAATTTATATATTAAAAATACATTTTTGAGCGCTAATTATAGATATAATACACAATCTGGTGAAAGCTGTTCACTGTGCTTCTTTACACGTGAACATAAAATGGGATCATGGTGAATGTTCATGATAAATGAAGTTAAGAACTCACAGAGCTTTCTTCAAGTTCATTTCCAATATATTCTTCTTTGTGCATTTCCCAGTGAAGAGCACAAGCTGTGAGGAAAAATGCATGATAAATGTAGTACATACTATGCACTAAATGTGGGAAATTAATATAATGCATGACTTTAGTTAAACAGCGAGAATATAATATGTATATTTTGGGCACGGACGATTCTCCGCAGCATCTTGTTTGGCAAAAAAAGTCTGAACACAATGAGACTGAAAACTCTCTGCTTGTTGTAGGTCTTTGGTGCCACTCTTTTTAAAACACAGTTTTTAACCAGAAACCACACACGAAAAGAGACCAGTAGCACCCTTAGCATGTGAAGATGTACAGTCACTCCTGGCACTACTTTTTTTTTTTTACAACATCCTGTATGTGATACTTAGGGTGCCATTTGTGAAAAAATCAGAGGGTGGGTTTTTTTTGATTGATTTTTTTTTTTTAGCTTGAAAATAAATCACAAACCACATTTCTTAATTTCTAGGAATGCAAAAAAATTGAATAGTTCACAGTTAATTGTTCACAGGGCTTTGTTGTTGTTTATGTGACAATATCATGATGTCAGATAGTAATAAATACGATTGCACTCAAATTGAATGTTCTGTCATAAGGTACTTCCAAAAATGCTGTGGTACTATCATGGAATGTGTATAATGCAATACAATAACTACCATTAACTATGCACTAAACAACAATGCTAAAAAATATTTCATTCATATTTATAAAATACTTCTGACAAAATATCTATCTTATACTATGTTATCACTTTAACAACCAGTCAGTAACTTATTAGTTAGTTGTGCATTTGTTTCAGTTAAAATAACCCACACATAACAATCTTTTTTTTTTTGTACTAGAGGTGTCAAACTCAGTTTCTGTAGTGCCACAGCCCTGCAGAGTTTCGATTCAACCTTCATTAAATGCACCTGATCCAGCTAATTATGTCCTTCGGGCTTATTTGAAAACTACAGGCGTTTCAGTAATGCATATGAATGAATTTCACTAATGTTGATATACGTGCTAATTTCACTAGTGTTTGCAAGAGGCTTTTCAATAATTATGGCCTTTATGGCCCCTCATACTGTACTGTATGAGGACCAACTGTAAAGAACCAACTCATTAGAATCCTTCGTTCTGTATTCGGACTACACTGTTTTATTTTAGTATGGAATTCAGTAGAATTCACATAAGAATCTATTAAAAGAACCGAGCATCATTGGGTTTAGTTGTTTTGTGTGTGTGTGTGTGTGTGTGTGTGTGTGTTTTAAACCATCATCCTCTCCTTGTTAGAGAGTAACAAAACCTCGCCTCACCGGTCCAAATGACCTGAAGCATTAAAATTACACTTATTTTTTGGTCCAGAGAGCTTATATCAATCCATTGTGATAAAATATTATCTTTATATATAGTTTTTTTGTGATTTTTATTTTATTTACCTTTAAATTCTGTATTTTATTATGAAAATAAGCATATTTGTTTACTTTGTTTCACAAAAACAAAAAAGACATTGTAAAATATTTCATGCATTGGGTCTGATGCTCCCTTGTGGAAAAGAAATTACATTAACTTGCATTTTATGTTTGCTGCAACTAGAGGGGCCTATAGGATCTCTATGGAGATTTTTTACAGAGCAAATCAACTGAAATATGGAAACATACTCCAATTTGAAACTTTGATTTGTTATCATTTTTATGCATTCAGATATATATTCAGACAATTAATTTTTACATTTTGTACATATACATACAAATATGATGTATTTATACAAGTTCTTTCTGGTCCTCGAATCTGATTGGCTGAGAGCCTTTTCCAGGAGTGCAATATTCTAGTGATAAGGGAACTCCAACCATTTCACCGTTTGTTTTTTAATAATTATTATTAAATAAATAATATTTTATATAAATAATAGTAGTATTTAATAATAGTATTTAGGCCCAATCCCATTTCTACCCCTCAGGTGTCTCGATTCTCTTTTGGTTGGAGGGGTAGGGGGAAGGGTCAGATAGCCGTTCAAATGAAGATTTTTCGGGACCCCACTTCAAATGAAGGGATATGAGAATTATCTCAGCGTACACCGGCTACAGCGGCAACATGGTTGCCCGAGCAAACAAGAAGACCCCTTAAACCAGGGCTGTCAAACTCAATTCCTGGTGGGCTGGAGCCCTGCAGAGTTTAGATTCAACCCTAATCAAACACACCTGATCCAACTAATCAAGGCTTATTTGAAAACTACATGGTATGTGTGTTGGAGCAGGATTGAAACAAAACTCTCAAGGGCTCCGGCCCTCCAGGAACTGAGTTTAACACCCCTGCCTTAAATGTATGTATTTTTGGCATTAATAACAATTTTAATGAAAAATAATAATTTGTTGTATGTTACATTCAATCTTGTTTTCATATTTACGGTAATGTTCTTCAGAAGAAACTTTTGCAAAAAAAAAAAAAGAAAAAGTTTTTTAATGTTAAACCATTAACTGACTGCATGATAGTCCCAGAACATATTTTCATGTCTGATCAGGGCCGTAACCACCATAGACATTGAGGGAGACAAGTCCCCCCAATAATTAGAAATCGCCAAACTTTTTTTGCTCAAATATGGCCATTTTGAGAGAGAGATTAAAGTTGCATGTGTGAATTACGTGTGTCTCTCTCTCTACAATGTGTGAGTTAATCGTTGCAGGAAAATATAATGTAGCAATTCAGTATTGAAGCATTGACAAATTTCTTTGCTCCTGGATGTTTGTGTGCGCGCGATCTCTGATATGTGTGTGTCAATGAAAGCAGCGGATTAATATAGAATGGTAATTAAAGGGCTCTAATGCACACCAGTATTCAGACAGACCATGGTGGCGCCTTAAGATAACCAAAGGCCCCTGGGCTACAGCATTACAGTAGGCCCCCCGACCCTAGAAAACCTCTTTTTTTTAAAGGGGTCATATGATGCGATTTCAAGTTTTCCTTTCTCTTTGGAGTGTTACAAGCTGTTAGTGCATAGATAAGATCCCTAAAGTTGCAAAGACTAAAGTCTCAGGGCTCTAATGCACACCAGTATTCAGACAGACCATGGTGGCGCCTTAAGATAACCAAAGGCCCCTGGGCTACAGCATTACAGTAGGCCCCCCGACCCTAGAAAACCTCTTTTTTTTAAAGGGGTCATATGATGCGATTTCAAGTTTTCCTTTCTCTTTGGAGTGTTACAAGCTGTTAGTGCATAGATAAGATCCCTAAAGTTGCAAAGACTAAAGTCTCAAACCCAAGAGATATTCTTTATAAAAGTTAAGACTCGTCCACGCCCTCCTAAAACGCCTCGTTTAAACACGCCCCCACATGTCTACGTCACTGTGCAGCACGATACGCAACGCAACGCGTAAAAAGACAGTATAAGTCATTATAATGAGTAATTATGTCCCCACTGGATGCAACAAATGCCTCGTTTGTAATGGGTTTTACTGTTTTTGTGTCGTTGCGCGGTGCTGGGACACGGCATCACAGTATGGTGAGGGGTGTAACAATTCCGTCACACGCTTGAGGTATTCGGCCAATCACAACACACTGGATAGCTGGCCAATCAGAGCACACCTCGCTTTTCAGACCGATGAGCTTTGTAAAAATCGATGCATTTCAGAAAGGCGGGGCATAGAGGAGCAACAATAATGTACAGTATGTGGAAAATAATGTTTTTTTAACCTTAAACCACATAAACACATTGTATTACACCAAATACACAAAATAATGTTCTTTTTAGCAACATCATATGACCCCTTTAAGCTTCCCAACAATTATTTGTCAAATTTCGTTTTTTGTTAATATGCCAGTTAACATTCACAACACTGTTCTGCGTAAAATGTGAATATAAGCGAATATTCAAATTCACTTTTTGCCACAAGGTGGCGCTTGTGGAACAGCAGAATTATATAGCCGTTACATAAAGTAAACACTACGTTATTACAGGCATTATACGAAGGTAATATGAAAGGAAAATGCCATCAAAACTTTCCTGGCTGAAATGTGAGTTTACAGGTATGATTTAAACACCATAAATCACACAAAATATTAGTTATTCATCATCAGTAGATCAAAACAACAAGTCATGTTGGCATAAATGTGGGTTATTTGGTGATTGCTAATTGCGTTTTTATTTTGAAGCATGACGTGCTCACGTTTAATTAGTTAAATCACAGCCATATAAAGTTTAATGATCACATTTAAGCAATAAGATAATTCCTATTTTTCCATCCCCAGATTTAAAATTGAGACTTTGAAGCAGCACTATTTATGTAACACAGATGACACACAGATTACATCCAAGCAAGTTACTGAACTCTCACTGTATGACATTACAGAACGTTGTCCGGTCCAGTTCCTTTCACACAGCAGTGTTGTGTTTCTGTTAATCTGTGTGTTGACATAAAGATACTCTCGTGCTGTGGTTATTTATTAGCGAATGCATTGAGCATTCTGCCTACAGTATAGATGTAACATGTGGAACATACCAACTATACAAACTGTGTGGGGGGAACCTAAACTAAGCCATTCACTATATAAGCTACTACAACCAGGGTGTCGCTGAAAATGAGTGTGTAAGTTTGTTTATAAAACGCTGTTGTCACTGCTGCAAACTCCCATATAAATAAATAATTATTCAAAAAATATAATTTCCCTGCAGCAAGTGGGCCCTCTTTCCAGTGTAGGCCCCTGGGCTTCAGCCCCTTGAAGCCCGTGCATTAATGCGCCCCTGGCAACAAGAGACTGCTTTTATGAGTGAGTCAGCAGTAAAGAGTTTTATATTAAAAGAGACTCAAACAGGGTTGTAAACAAGGAAGTTATTTTTACTTTAAACAACAGCTTGTAAGACGCAGCCAACAAATGCAGTGAGCAGCACTGTCACCAGAAATCACCCTTAACAGATGAAAAGATAGTACGACAAAGATATTGCTCTCTGAATGCTGTATCAGATGCAGGTAATCACACTGTCTCGGTCCATCTCTCTCTCATAATGCTCCACATACAGTCATGGCCAAAAGTTTTGGCAGTGACATATATTTTGTGTTTTGCAAAGTTTGCTGCTTAAGTTGTTGTGGTGTTCATTCACATTGTTTCTAGATTATTGTGTAGAGTGATCAGATGCATATTAAAACATTGCTAAAATCTTCATTGGCCAAAAAATGAACTTTTCACAAAAAAACTAATTTAACTGTTTTTTGATCCTGACACAAAATGACCAGCTAACATTAATTGACTAATCATATCAGCAGCACATGTGAAAGTGTGAATGAGTACTAGTCAGGTTAATCACTATCATACTAAATAGATTGTAAGAGCAGACTGGTTGCTATAAAAGGAGGGAAGAAGCACTTTCTTGTTAGCAATGGTTACCTCCAAAGAAACACGTGCAGCCATCATCGCTATGCATCAAAATGGCCTCACATGCAATGAAATTATTACAAAGAATATTGCACCCGAAATAACCATTTACCGGATCATCAAGAACTTCAAGCAGAGAGGTTCGACTGCAGTGAAGAAGTCTTCAGGATGCCCCAAAGTGTCCAGCAAGCGCCAGAACCGTCTCCTCCTGAGGAGGCAGCTACGGAATCATGTCAGCAGCAGTGCAGAGCTTGCTCAGGAATGGCAGCAGGTTGGTGTGAGAGCATCTGCATGCACAGTGAGGCCAAGACTTTTGGACAATGGCCTAGTGTCAAGAAGGGCAGCAAAGAAGCCACTTCTCTTCAAGAAAAATGTCAAGGACAGACTGAAATTCTGCAGGAAGTACAAGGATTGGACAGCAGAAGACTGGTGCAAAGTTATTTTCTCTGATGAAGCTCCCTTCCGACTGTTTGGGACATCTGGAAAATCGATTGTTTGGAGAAGAAAAGGTGAATGCTATCGTGAGTCCTGTGTTGTGCCAACAGGGAAGCATCCTGAGACCATCCATGTGTGGGGTTGCTTTTCAACGAAAGGAGTGGGCTCTCTCATAATTCTGCCCAAAAACACTGCCATGAATAAAGAATGGTATCAAAACATCCTGCAAGAGCAACTTCTTCCAACGATACATGAGCAATTTGGTGATGATCTGTGCATTTTTCAGTATGATGGAGCACCATGTCACAAAGCAAGAGTGATAAGAGTGATAAGAGTGTGGCTCGAAGATCATTACATTGAAATTTTGGATCTGTGGCCAGGCAACTCCCTGGATCTCAATCCCATAGAGAACCTGTGGTCAGTCCTCAAAAGACGAGTGGACAAGCAGAAGCCCACAAATTGAGATAAACTCCGAGAACTAATAAGGCAAGAATGGATCACCATCAGTCAGGATTTGGCCCAGAAGCTAGTATCCAGCATGCCAGAGCGAATTGCAGAGGTTATGAAGAACAAGGGTCAACACTGTAAATATTGACTTATTATATATTTTTGCCAATAAAAGCCTTTAAAACTTATATGCTTATCATTGTTTTTCAGTATACCATAGAAATCTATCTATCTATCATCTATCTATCTATCTATCTATCTATCTATCTATCTATCTATCTATGTATATCTGTGGGTGTTGTCTGTGTATGTATGTGTGTGCTCTGCATTGGGGATATTCTATAGTCTCATCCCTTCATTTATGTATGTGTTTTCTGATTCGGATTTTGTATACAAATAAAATTAAATAAAAAGCTAAATTGATATATGATAGGTGAAATTGACCTGAGAAGTTCTATTTTTTACACCCACAAAAAGTTTTTTTTATTTTTTTGGCGTTTTCCCATTTCAATTGTGAGAGTTTTGCAAGATCTTAGACCACTTTATTTTAATTTAAAAAAAAATTGTTTTGTTTTAATTTTGTGTGAAATGACCCGAGGAGAGCTGGATCTGAATAAGAAATGGTTCTCAGTTCCAACTCTAGTTGTTTTGTGTCCACTCTCTGGTGTCTTTGGACTTGTCTGGCAACCCTTCTGTGACCTCAGTCGGCCTTCAAAGTCTCTTTAACGCCCTCATGGAGGCCCAGCGACCTTTGACCCATCTCAATCTTCAAGGTATTTTCTTTTCCTCCATTCAGGTTTAATCGCCAGTGTCTTGTCAGCTCGGATAAATAAATTGTCATTTTATTGTGTATTTTGCTTTTGTATCCTGCCAGTGGTTTGATTGGTAAAAATCTGCGCTGATAACAGAAAGGTTGTAGGTTCAAACCACAAAACAGTGACGAACTCGACTCAAGATGTTTTAACTCAAAGAAATTTGACGGTACTTTCCCTCTTGGTTTACTGACAATTCAGACATGCTATATGCTATTGCTTTCTGAGCACCTGATCAAAAATGGGAGAAATTTCTAGTATGGATATGATGTCATTCAGTTTTCACAAGTAACCAATTGTATTTTTGTGAAAAGGGAAAGTGTTTGTACAGTATTGCCAAATTATATTATGGAGTAGATTTCAAATTCACTCAGAATGATGTTGCCATTGTTTTCCCTGTCTCATTTTTTTAAATGGCATAGCTACATCATAATCTCGCAGTAGCAGCATCTTTGCAGTATCTCACAGG